TATATATATAATGGTCTACAGAGTCAGAACAGTAGCTTCAATTTTATATCCTCGCTAAAGGTACGCCAAAATCTTAACTTTAGGTTCATCATGTGTCGAAATTTGACGAAGGATTTTATAACTGCACCGCTTCCAACGTAGAGGGAATCGTAACTTGCACTTCTGATATCACTGTAATTCCAGCTAAGGAAGAACCGAAAAGACGATCTCGGAAGCAACCACAGGCACCTACGTTTTTGGAAGTTCTGCCTGGGAAAGTTAAGGTATGACGCCAAAAATACCCTAGAATAAGTTGCAATATTTTAGATTTGTTACTTCGTGGCCATTTTAAATTTAAATAATTGTTCTTTTACCGTCATTTTTGTTGCTTTTTTACTTACTATGATTGTGGCAATTACTGTATAGATTTCTGCTGGAGATCCATTCACCGTGGAATGTAGTATTGCTGCACATCCAGCTCCTTCCATAAGATGGTCTCGGAATGGTGCACCGTTCATCCCACAAATTGAAAGATATTCGATGTTGTACGATGGTGAAACAGCTACCCTGAAGATAACTAACGTTTCAACTGCTGATGTTGGTACTTACACTTGTATAGCGGAAAATCATTTGGGCAAAGCAAAAACTACGGTTAGTTAGAACGTTGTGAGATGAAATTTTTCGACCTCCCAGTTTGGTTTATTTGATTTGGTACGTTGCAGATGCGACTTGAAGTCGACGAAAATGCTCCTTCTGGCAAAGAGGGTATTCCGCCTAGATTTTTACGTGAAAACATCCTAGATGTGGTGCAGGTCCGTGATGGCGAAAAAGCAGTACTGTCAGCTGAGCTGTTAGAAGGTGACCTACAATCAATACTTTATTTTCCTACCATTTTTTCTAGTTTTTTATTCATTTTAGTAAACGACTTTGATGTGTTTAGGATCTGAACCTCTGACCATTTCTTGGATGCATAACAAAGTTGAAATACCTGACTCTAGTGGGTTTGCCTATTCTAGAAGAAAGAATTATTGTTGCTTAACTGTTGCCGATGCTTTCCCAGAAGACAGTGGAGAGTACGTTTGTGAAGTGAGAAATAAGGCTGGTTCTGCACAATGCTTTATCAAGCTTGTGGTTTCAGGTTTGTTTTTTCGCTGTGTCTTATGGATTTATCCCATAAGTCATGTTAATTTCTAGACTTTAGAAAACGTCTTGGGAATCACACGTCCTCTGTTTCAGAACGTCATCAAAAAAGTGAATATGAGGAGTTGCCAACAATTGTTTGTAATGATAAGACCGTTAAAGTGGATCCTGGCCAAACGCTTTGTTTGAATGCTGTAGTACAAGGCCATCCTGAACCCGTGATAGCTTGGCAGCGAAATGGCAGAACGATTGCTGCCGGCGACAGATATGAGGTTTGTAAAATCACTTTTTTAATGTTATTTTTCCCCTCCTTCTGATTGGACCTAGTTTCTGGCTATTCATCATTTTTTAAATTAAAATGTTCAAAATTAATACTGTGCATTATTCTTTCTCAGATGGAGCATGATGGGGAAAACTTTACTTTACGCATTCATGATGCAACACGAGGAGACAGCGGAGCTTACATACTGAAAGCAGTAAACACTGCTGGCGCTTCAGCCGTTGAAATACTTGTAGAAGTTTCGGAAATTACCGAGTACGTTGAAAATTCTTTGAATTTAAATCTTCTTTGTTTTTCACTCAAATGAATTTTGTAGTTTTATCTGCTGTTGCCGAAAAAAACCGTTGTCTTTCAGCTCAAATGCTGTGGTACCAAAAATGAAAACTGTACCAATTTCAACGCAGTGCGCTTATGGCCAACGAGCAGAACTCAAGTGCAGCTTCAAAGTCTGTTTTCTGCATCCAAGTTTCCATACAGCGCTTTAGAATGTGATTAAGCCGTTAAACTTTTTGTTATTCACAGTAGTGAGGAATTTTGACAATTGCAGGGTACTCCACAACCAACAGTTTCATGGTTCTTAAACGATCGCAAATTAGTTTCTGGAAGAGATGGTTACGTAATTGATACAACCCCATCTACCTCGCAGATAACAGTTTTGAGGCTTCAAGAAAATCATTTGGGTGAATACCTTTGCGTGGTAAGAAATGCATACGGCGAAGATCTGGCAAAAGCAAGAATAATGTTGGAAGGTAATAGTTTTAAGATTTTTTTAACACCGTTACCACCCTCACGGACTGCTTCTTGTTGACTTCCGTTAATTGCTTGGACTGCTGTTATTTTAATTTTAGTTCAATTTTCTTACGTTTTGCTAGTTTCACTAAATAATTTTTCAGTTTAGAAAGAACTCTTTAAATTTCAAACGGCTTCTTTTGTACCGGCAAAAGTGCTTCATTAACTGAGCTGTGTTTGTACTCGTCCATTTACAGCTTTACTTGCTCGACTTTTCAGCAGTAGTAATCAAATCTTTATTTAAAACTTAACTCCTGACCCCTTGTAGCTCTTAATGGTGCAATAAAGAGGAAAACTTTTGCAGTTTTATGTTACATTGTGCTGTCGTTGATGTCTCGTATATGGCGACCTGTACGTCTTACTGCGTCAGGGTAATTCATGTGTTATCTTGTGTTTAAAGTTTCCTAACAACTCGTTCTCAAAGCTGTTTACTTAGATTAGTAGAAATTGTCCGTCCACGAAACTTAACAGTTATTTTGTTGTTTAGTTCAGTAACTACAATCGTCGAGTGAAAGCAGATGAATTGTTTGAATTCAATACACAAAAGTTTCAGGGCATTCAGCAGCGTTACCTCCACGCAGGAAGATGTGAACCTAAGTTGTTAAAATATCGTTATTCAATCTGCGTGACACCTTCACCCAAATGATTCAGTAACGGATTTCTTTGATACTCTGTACAAAAGAAAAAGATTAAGGAAATTTTTGTTGCTCACTGAACATTCTAGTCCAAACATGTGATAAACCAATTCCTGAGACAATTAGATTACCTGTAAAGCTCAGGAATATATGAACCGTGTCTATTCCAGTCCATTATATAATTGTGTTTGTATAATGTTAACTTTAAGTTAATCTCATACCAAAAAGACCGCAAAAACGGCCATTCTAAACTTTTGTATGATAGATAATTCCTCCTAAGGAATAGCATTTAAGATCTGTTGCACTGACTACTTCAAATATCATTTTAATCACATCTTATCTTAGTAATTAATACTCACTTTGCGTCTACAGGTTTCGTCCCACCGTAAGACAAAAAAAAGAAAACATATCTGCTTTAATGGCTTATGTGGTTGATACGTCGAAAAACTTTTTACGTTGTTTATTTATTATTAAGTGAACAATTTGTTTTCTGCGAAACGAATAAATAATTTCATGTTTATGTTTGGTACAAATCACAACTACTTACAGTCAGGCTAAAATCATTCGTACTTGTGCAAAAATCGTCAGGTTACGGGTTCTATCATTTACGTAACCGTCATTATGTGCCAGTACATGAAGGCTTTAGAATAATAGCAAGCGGCTGGTGTTAAATTCTTACCGACTGAAAATGACTTCCTTTTGTTTAAAATCTTGTTGTTCCTGGAACCTATCTGTCGTGCCACATTAGGTAAAGATTATTATCCGTTCTTGATCGCTGCTGGTTCTGTTGTTATCCCAGCTCAAACATTCGTCGACTGTTTCAAAGCAAAGCACATTTAAAGTTTAGGAGCAAGAAATACTTTTCGGGAAGACTGAAACAAAAGAAAAAATTATGAATACTGGCATCTCTGATGGAAAGTCTTTGCCAAACTTCAGCCATTTGTAAACCAAACAAGAATCTCGTGACACGCGAAAACAGCGCTGAGGACTTTCCAAAATTTCTTCCTAAATTACTCTATCGCATAGTTGGTTCTAGTAATAATTTTAGATACTTATTTAGTAGAAACATTGCTTATTCCATCACACGTTTGAAAACTACAACTGATTTTGCTGCGGCACCATCATCGCGTCTCACAGTGATCAATTTCGGTTCACCCATTTATTGAGCTGTAATGGCACTTTATTCGCTCGACCAGTCCGCGTCGTCGGATACGGAAAATTGCTTCCACCAAACCGCACTCTCTTAACCGGCAGTGTTGCTCGTCGAAAACTTTGATATTCACGTTATCGGCAACAACGATCCACGAGTAGTAATGTAGCTATATCAGACAGACCCAACTGCGATAGTCTCACCGGACACCATTAAGACGGAATTTCTGATAGCTACTCAGCTCTATCCGGCTGAATACTAGCTTCATAAGTCCCCCGCGTCTTGACAACTACTCAATAACTTCCACCTGCCGCAACCATACAGTTTCCCTCCTATCCAGGACGCTCTTTTCTTTGATTTAGCTTCTCTTGCGTTCAGAAAACTCTCCTTCCCAATTTCCTAAGCTTTACCAACATGAAGTTTAATACTTGGAGACGTAGAAACTAGAGTTGCTACCTTCGTCAGCGCCTTCCTGTTGTAGGCTTCGGTCGGACGAGTAAAGAAGTGCCGGGAGCAACAGAGAAGAGTAGCTGTAGCCGATGAGAAAAATGACCAACTTTGGGCACAATATGCCAGTCTTGTGAGCTGGGTAATTCATGGCGTCTACCTTGAAATACACTTTGTTGCCATATTCCCTTAACCGCTTTTTTTGTGCAGTAGTTCTGACCGTACTATTCATTTCCCAAATTTTGGAAGCACTCATGCAGTTCCTACTTAACTTTCACCTGAGTAATTAAGATTTATCCAAATAACCTGTCGCTGCACCATATTAATGCCAGGAATGACACCTGCGAAGCTGGGCAGATTGTGAAAGTACACATTTCAACCAAAACATTAAGAGCGCTGGTAAATAAATGCATGGATTCCGCTACGATGAACCGCAGAATGAAGGAAGCCATGTGTACCAGGAAAGACGTGCTCGTGAACAAAAGTTCAATGAAGTTACCGAGTAACCCGTAAATTATAAGGAACCTCGTTTTAACTTCTACTTTTGAAGCAACACCAAAAACTTTTTGTATGCCTGACGCTCCCAATATAATTTGACAGAAGCCCTAACACAAAAGAACTTTTTTGACGAAACAATTAGGAGGAAAATAATGCCCCTCCGCTAGGAGAAAGGAGAACAAAGGACAACTCTACTAAAGAGGACGTCCGCAAGTTTCCTTTATCTTCTCCGCGTTCGTTCTCAAACATGCCGTGCATTATATTTGCACTTTTAAAAGGACCATCAGAGATCAGGGGCGAAGACCAACCTTCACTTAACATCAGAAGCTGCTTTAGAGCAACCAGTTATCAGCCATAAGAAGCTACTCTAAAAAAGCTTCACCGGTTCTGCTGCAAGTTGTTTCCACTGTCACCGAAGTAGAAGAAAACATTTCCAGACTAATAGAAATTGGGGAACCCAATGGATTTGGCAGTCAGCTTCCAGACTCC